GGGGCGGGGCCTAGGATGATGGGGTGGGGCCTAGGCTGATGGTGGATGGATTAGGGAGGACCTCCCCCAAGATGACTGGGAGGAGGCTCTGTGTGGGTTCCTGCCGGGTGAGGAGGGGCCAGCTCCAGCAGCCCACCAGCAGGGGGCTCCCATGCAGGCGGAGCAGCTGATGGAGGAGTGGAACGAGGATCTCGATGGCATGGAGGGCTTTGTGCTCGAGGGTAAGAAGTTCGCACGGCTGCCTGAGGAGGAGTTCGGCCACTTCTACACGCAGGACTGCTACGTCTTCCTCTGCAGGTGCTGGCCCGGAGTGCCTCCCCGTCCAGCCCCTCTGCTGCTCTGGGGCCCCTGCTCACTGCCCTCTGACCCTCAGGTACTGGGTCCCCGTGGAGTATGAGGAGGAGGAGAAGAAGGAAGAGAAAGAGGCAGAGGCCAGGGGCGAGGGCAAAGAAGGCGAGGAGGCAGTCGCGGAGGTGGAGGAGAAACAGCCGGAGGAGGATTTCCAGTGCATCGTGTACTTCTGGCAGGGCCGGGAAGCCTCCAACATGGGCTGGCTCACCTTCACCTTCAGCCTGCAAAAGAAGTTCGAAAGCCTCTTTCCCGGCAAGCTAGAGGTGTGCCTGCCGTGCCCCGGCGGCTCAGTACCATGCCCCCATGGCCTCTGGGGAGGTTCTGTGGGAATGGGACTCAGACCCAGGGAAGGCTTGGCCCGTGAGGGGCAAGGTGGGGTCCAGGGAGCTGCCCATGACACTTCCACACACCCAGGTGGTGCGCATGACACAGCAGCAGGAGAACCCCAAGTTCCTGTCCCATTTCAAGAGGAAGTTCATCATCCACCGGGGCAGGAGGAAGGCTGCTCAGGGTGCCCTGCAGCCCAGCCTCTACCAGATTCGAACCAATGGCAGTGCCCTCTGTACCAGGTGCCTGGCTGGTGGAGGGGCAGGGGTGGGCAGGTGGGGTCAGTGAGCCACCCTGACTCCTTGCTGACCTCCTCCCTCCCCCAGGTGCATCCAGATCAACACCGACTCGAGCCTTCTCAACTCTGAGTTCTGCTTTATCCTCAAGGTGGGGTTGTAGGAGTGACCGGGACTATGGGTCAGGGTGGGGGGTTGTAGGGCAGACCTGACCTGAACCCTCTGCACTCTCCCCAGGTTCCCTTTGAGAGTGAGGACAACCAGGGCATCGTGTATGCATGGGTGGGCCGGGCATCGGACCCTGATGAGGCCAAACTGGCGGAGGACATATTGAACACCATGTTTGACGCCTCCTACAGCAAGCAGGTGACCAGGGCAGGCAGTGGCCAGATAGTGTAGCAAGGGCAGACAGGGACCCTGGACTGGACCAACCTTTTACCCACAGGTCATCAATGAAGGTGAAGAGCCTGAGAATTTCTTCTGGGTGGGCATAGGCACACAGAAGCCTTATGACGATGATGCTGAATTCATGAAGCACACCCGGCTGTTCCGGTGAGGCTGGGCCTAGACCCCTTCCCCAGCTTCCTCCTGAGTCCTGCTACTGCTGCTTATGACCCTTAGTCTCTCCCTGACCCATGACCTGCAGGTGCTCCAATGAGAAGGGTTACTTCGCAGTGACTGAGAAATGTTCTGACTTTTGCCAAGATGACCTGGCAGACGATGACATCATGTTGTTAGACAATGGCCAAGAGGTGAGACCCCTGCTGACCCTGCCCATTCAAGGAGCCCACCCATTTGTAAATGGGAATTCTGAGGCTACAAGGTAGGGAGTTCAAGTCCCCCATGAGACCACCTCCCCTGCCATACCTACAGGTCTATATGTGGGTGGGGACCCAGACAAGCCAGGTGGAGATCAAGCTGAGTCTGAAGGCCTGCCAGGTGAGCTGGGTGGAGGGGAGGGCTGAGGCTGGCCCCAGTGGTCTGGAAGGCCTGCCTGAGGCTTACACATGTCCTGCTCACCAGGTGTACATCCAGCACATGCGTGCTAAAGAGCATGAGCATCCCCGCCGCCTACGCCTGGTCCGCAAGGGGAACGAGCAGCATGCCTTCACCCGCTGCTTCCATGCCTGGAGTACCTTCCGCAAGGCCCTGGCCTAGGGCGACCACCACCCACCTGCAGCCCCCAAGGAGACCCCAAGCTCTGGGTGAGGAGAGGAAGGGCCTCTCTTCGTCCACCACCTGCCAGCAGAAGCTGTTTGCCGGTGGCAGCCCCTGCTATGGTCATCCCCCAGTGCCATGGTGCTCAATAGCACAGCCCAAGGGGCACCAGTGTGGGTAACCCTATCTAGTGCCCTAAGGGGTCTTGGAAATTAGACTCCCTTCGGTGTGAGCTCCTATGTGATACCCCCTCCCCAGCTAGAAATTAAGTAGACATGGTTGCCCTTTTAAGAGATATTAAATGCTTTTATTTTCAATATTAAAAATCAGCATTATTAATATTAAAACAGTGCTAATGTTAACAAAATAACAGAAAACTCCCAAGGGACAATCTACAGGGAAACCCATTCTGACCCCTACATCCACACATCTGACTGGGCCCTAGTCCTGGGTGCCCAGGGAGCTCCCAGTCTCTCTCTCTCTCTCTCTTTCTCTCTCTCTCTCACACTCACACACACACACACACACCCATTCATGTACAGGCTGGGCAGGAGGAAGACACGCTAGCCCAGGAGCAAGTACCAAAATAGTTTTAGAAATGACTGTCCAACCCGGCACTGTCCAGCCAGGCATTAGAAAAATATTCTTTGCAAAGGAGGGGGGAAGGATGGTGTGGAGTGGGAGGTGGCATGGGCTGCCAGCCCCAACTGTCCTTCCCTGTGACAACTGGTTTCCAGGTACTGCCCGTAGAAGGGGCCAGTCCGAGTCCACCCCAGAGTTCCAGGCCCACATCCTGGGGCCAAGGTGGGCAGGTGCTGCTTGCAGATTAGCAAGTATAGGTCTGTGCGAAAGGCTGGGAGGAAACACAGGTCCTGGATCCCAGCTCCAAACAAGGCAGGTGGTGGCCAGGTAGGTCTGGCCTTCCTAGTAAAGGGAGAGAAGGGTTAGCAGAAGGCCAAGGGAGGTCAAAAGGGGCAGGTGACCTGGCTACTCAGGTGCCACTACTCAGCCTCCTCTCCAGGGCAGGCAAAAGGGCTGCCCCACCCATCTGGGGCAAAGGCCCTGCAGTGACAGCTTGAGGAGGGCTGGCCAGGTCCCTGAGCATGGACCACATCCGGCCCACTGAGGCCAGGTTGTGGCCAGGGGTGTCCCCAGCAAAAGACAAAGATAGCTGGGGTGTCTGTGCCTGCCTGTGTGGGTGGGGGCCCTAGGTAGCAAATAGTTGGGCAGACTTATGGGCCCCAGATCTGGATGGGGCCACACTGCAATGGGAGTGGTGGCCAGTCAGTCTTAGGCCAGGCCTCATTCTCCAGGCTCACCCAGCAGGGCCTAACCTTGTACCTGGGTGATCTCACCAGCTGAAATGGGCTGGCCAAACCAGCCCGAGCCCAAAGCTGCCACCACCTCTTGTTCCAGACACCACCTATGAGATCCAGGGGCTGATGGGCTGGCTGTTTCTTTAATACCAAATGATGAAAATCACATCTATGTAGGCCCCCAAAGCCCCTGACAGGACATCCCTGGAGAGCAGCCAGGCCTTGGAGTACTGTCATTACAGGGGTTGCTAGGATTTCAGGTGTGAAGCCACAGCAGGAGGTCCCTGGGGTTGAGGCTGAGAATCAGGTAGAGCCAGAGTCCCCCACACTTGTAGCACCTCATTTAATCAGAATGGCACAGGCTCGAGCCTCATCTTCCACCAGGTTCCTCAGATTCTTCTCAGAGTCCTCTGAAGAGCTGGAGAAATGGGGTGGTAATCAGGATTTGGGGAAAGGCCCCTTCCTTGGCCCTGCATGCCCAGCTCGGACATTAGGTTGGCTGAGGGTAGGGGAGGTAGGCCGTGAAGCCAGGGCAGCCCCTCCTGTGGATCCTGCCCGCCCACCTCACCCCAGGAAATCCTTCACGTCCTCCACCGTGATGTCCCCTGTTGTGTCCAGAGTTGTGTCAGCACTGGTGGCCGAATCAATGGACATAGGCGAGAGCGTGGCCTCAGGCAGCTCTGGGGTATCTGCAGGGAGGAAATGATCAGGCCTCTAAGACCCCTGGACACCCTCTGCACCTGGTAGGACAGGACGATAGACCCCCTCACCTTCTCCTGCCCAGCATACCCCTCCCCAGGATCCCAGCCTCGGATCAGCTGCTGCCTCCTGCCCTAATATCTGAGCTGACTGGTGTCCCACCACCCCTATTTCATTCCCAGCCTCTTACCAGTTCCTTTGCTGCAGACAGGATTAGGGCTTCCATCATGGCTCTGTGGGGCCAGGAGGATGCCCAGGGTCCCGTTAGCCTGGCTCAGCTTGGGTGACTCTTGGAGTCTGTAGCTACAGGGACAGGGCCATGATGGGGTCACAGGCAGGCACCTCAAGACTCAAAAGGGCCAAACCCCTGACCTCCCATTCCCAAGACCTGAGACCAGAAAGGGGTGACACCAGGGAGGGCCACTCTTGCTCCACGCAGAACCTGGGGGTGGGGATGACACCAGCCTTGATCAAAGGCCTCCCAGGCCAAGGGCTACCCACTCCGTGCACCTGGCATGGGCAGCATCATGGGGCCAGCTGATGTCCAGAGAGCAGAGCGGCTCTGTGATGTTCCGGGCACTTAGGGAGAAGCGTTCAAACTCCGATGGAGAAATCAAGTAAAAGCCTGGGTGGGAGAGGATGAGTACAGAGTGCAGTTAGGAGCCATGACTCCCACCACAGCGCTTCAGCTGGTCTCTGCCCTGCATGTGCTGCTGGCCCTCCCCCACCCTAGCCAGTGCTGTGCCCAACCTCGTGACACTCTCCGGGAATTCTAGACCTGCTCGGGTCCCTTGCCCCAGAAAGCCTTCGCTCACCCTGGCCGTGGCGGGTGAAGACACAGGAGGCGATGCCGCTGATGTCCTCCTTCCGGATACAGGAGTAATGCACCTGGGGCCTCAGGCCCGGCACCGAGAAGACATGCACGTCACCCAGGTTGGTGAGGCAGGCCAGGCAGGTCTCAGCATAATCCTCACAGGCCACGCTGGCAAATGTGGCCAGTGCCACTTTGCGCACGCGACAGCCCTCATGGGCTGTCAGCTTGAACTTGGTCTTGGCGCTCACCTTGGGTAGTGTGAACACCTGGCAGCGGGCAGATGGCCAGTGAGCATAGCCTGGCCCAGTCCACACCCCCAGCCCCTACTTAGAACCCAGCCTGTCACACAGGCCTGTGCCTCTGGCTACTACCACCTCTGTCTGAACACCCTCCCACCCTGCACTGCTACCCTCAGACTTGACCTAGGCTCTACACTGTTCCCAGAAACCTCCCAGGACCTCTCCTATGAGAACCTAGCAAAACCAATCACTCTGGGTTATGAGGGTTAGATGGCTGGTATCCCCCCAAACCATGACTTCCTGCCAGAGCCCCAAGGAGTGGGTCAAGGTGGGAACTCAGTGATGTAGGAGGGTCCTGCAGAAATACAAGCTGAGGGACTCATCGTGGTTTTTCAGGGGCACCTCTGCTGGCTGAGTGGGGTCTTCGGGGGGGGG